AAGGAACTGTGACATCTCCCTCAGTCTCCACACTCAGCACCACCCTCGGCTCAGCTTTGAATCTTCCCACCTTGGAAAGTTTTTTCCAGATATGATTTAACCCTCCAGCACTGAATGAAAGCATCAGCCCCTCTATATGCACTCAGTGTGGGCAGGTGAATCCCAGAACAGTTTGGGACCTTAAAGCTCATCTCATTCCACCCCTTTCCATGGGCAGGGACACCTTCCAGTAGCCCAGGTTGCTCCAAGCCCTGTCCAACCTGGTCTTGGACACTTCCAGGGATCCAGAGGCAGCCACAGCTTCTCTGGGCAACCTGTTCCCCTTATCTGAATTCATGCACCTCCCAAGAGGGGTTTAAACCCAGCTCACAGGGCTGCACTTTCACTGGAACAATTACACCTGCTTGCCCAAGGTGTGAACTTGGTTCTTTATTTTCTTTTTAGGCTTTATTGCACCTCCCCACCCAAAAAAAGGGCAAAACTCTGAAAAAAAAACCCAAAAAAGTTATTAGGCAAGGTAAAAACAAACTTTACCTTTCATTCTCAGTTTTATTGGTTACTGGAAAATAAGTTTTACAAACTATCTCTTGCAAAGGTCTTGTTTTCAGCTAGTTTATATAGTAGCTTTTGTTCACATAAAAATTTAGAAAGCTACTTTCCTCTTCTCCTTTCCCCCCCCCCTGCAATCCATAAGGGAGGTATTACAGTGTGAAATATATCTACCGCTAGCAGGGCTGTGTTGTGAAGCCGAAATGAACACAGTAAATTCTGAGAAGGAATTTGTTTAACCTATAACCTTAAAGTAATAAGTGGAGTGCTAAATGTTTTGGCTCACACTGATATATTTTTATAACACTTGGCAAGGCAGCTCGGAGTCTGAAAGGAAAAAAACAAAACTCCAGCGCCGGAGAGAAACAGCTCGTTCGTCGCCTCTCCCATCTCCGGCAGGCCGAGCCCGGGCCGGGCACGGGACCCAGCGCTCCGTGTGGGCAGCACGTGGGGACACGCGTGGGCAGGGCTGGGCACACGTGTGGGCAGGGCTGGGCACACGTGTGGGCAGGGCAGGGATGGACACGCGTGTGCCCAGCAGCGTGGTGGGACGGGGAGGACGCCGGGGATCCACCCCGTGAGCCGCGTGGTGCGAGTGGCGTGGATCAAATTTACCTTTTTGAATGTAATTAAACCCCCCCCATCTCCCAGAGGGTTCTGGAGGAGCTGTGTGGGTCTGTGGGCAGCAGGGGCTCAGCCCCCAGGGTGACCCCAGGGCCCCCATTCCCCCCTGCCTGCCTCCGGAGCAGTAATGACCCTCCTCCCTGCGGCACACGGCGCCTTTTCCCGAAGATTTAAGGGGGGTGCAAGGCACAGGCCTGGTTTTCCTTCATTAACACCCCTCTGACGTGGATTTCAATAACAGCACCCCCTGCTCATGCCACCGGTGGGGGCCTGGATGCTGCTGGATTTTCCCGTCGGCTCCCTCCTGCCCCGTAGGGTGGGATGCCCTGGGCTGTCCCACTGCTCCCTCAGTGGAAACCCATGGGGAACTGCCCTGAAAGCAGCAGGCAGGAGTTTGGGATGCAGAGCAGGATCTGGCCCATCTCCTGGCCGGGCTCCAGGGTACAGTCTGGCCTGGAGTCTGCCTGTGTGCTTTGGTTGCAAACCACGCGCCGCAGGTTAAAGCAAATCCTTCTTTCTTTCCAGACAACGTCACTCCTGTTGCATCCCAGCCCAAGGTGATGTTTTTCCTGGGAAGAGACCAAGAGTTGGTTTGCAGAGCCCTGGTGAAGGTGCTGCTGCTGCTGCCCCCTGAAAGGGCAAAGCTTGCAGGGAGACACGGGGGCTCCAGTCCCAGATCCCCATCTCTGGAGGTCTGTAAAGGTGGGGAAAAAGGGGGGATTCCATCTGGGAAACACCCCCAGGCCTGTGGGCAAACTGGGTGCTGAACAAGGCATTGTGGAGGTGGTGTCCTCACAGAGCAGCAGATGGGGAAGTGGATTTTGGGGGGATCACAGCAGAGCCACGAGGTTTCCCAGCCCTCCCAGCAAAGGGGTCTCACCCCTAACCACTGATGTAACCACCGTCTTGATGAAGAATAAAGTGTCTGTGCCCAGCCTGGCCCAGTGCAGGGCCCCTCCAGCTACCTCCTTAATTTGGGAAAACAGCACTTGGCAAAGACCTCCCACACGCCCTTAGTTCAAATTTCTGTCGTGGCCCCCGTTGCTGTGACCCTGAGCATCCACCCCTCCCATCCACGTGGGACACTTCCCTGGGGGATTGGAAAGCACTCACACTCTGTGTTTAAGGAGGGGGAAACTGAGGCACAGCACTATTAAGGGACTTCCTCCAGGGCTCACGAGGAGCCCGTGGCAGCTGAGGGGGTGCCACGTGTCAGGACGGCCTGAGGAGCTCGACCCATCTCTGTCAGCCTCTAAAGTCCATGGATGACAAGGGAGGATCCATTTTGGGACTCAGCAATCCTTGGGGGTCCCTCCCAACTGAGGACATCCTGTGATCTCCCCAATTGGGGTATTTTCCCTCCATTAGCAGCCCCCCAGGAAACCACAGAGCTCCCACGGGGAGCAGCGAGGGTGGAATGTGTCACGCCCCTAATCCTCTTTTTTTTTTTTTTTTTTAATTTGGCATTATTAATCTCTGGGGGGGTATAAATAACCTTCCTCCCCCCCTTCCCTGCCTCCACCTCCCAGATCATTTACTGTGGATTAATATTTGCTAGCTCGTTTGCACAGTAGCCTGTAGATTTTCAGCCTCCTCGCTGGAATGATGTTGACTTGCAGAGAAATTACAGGGGCTTTACCCTGGTACAAAGCAAACAGTGTGTGCTGTAATCAGACTCAACACCTCAGCAAATAATGAAAAGAGATATTATGTGGCTATAATTTCCATGGGATTAGGTGTTTGTCTTGTAAAGCATTCAGGTGCCGCCGGGGTAGGGACGAGGGGTAATTATGGTCAGAGGGTTAAACAGGGGGAGCAGGAGCCCGAGCGGGGCCGGGGGGGCACATGGGGCTGAGGGGGCTGTTAATTGGCAGCTATGAATGGTCCTTACAGGTCCTGGGTGTTGCAGTGACTCCACTTCTATTTATGGATCCCAAAAGCAGAGCCCCGTCCAAACTCGGGGTGGGGGGGGGATCAGGAGCCTCTCCGTGATCTGATCCCCCTTCCCAACAGTTTCTGCCCATTTTATTTTTGGGGTAAATCAAGAGCCCCTCTAGTGCTACCCACTCAGCTGGCTCAAGGCCCACACTCCAGGAGATGGACCTCGTCTGCCTGTGGGGTTTGTGTTGGATCCAGGAGAAGGACCCGGGAGAGCGGGGGGTGACACTGTCCAGAGTCACATCCCAAAAATGGCTCTTTGCCCTCCAGGTCTGCTCTGGAGGGGTTTATGGCACTGGGTGGGAAGGTGTGAGGGACAGGAGCACACACTAAATTTCCTCCTGAATCGGTTCCTTGTTCGCTGGAGGCTGGAGAGGGCCCAGCCTGTGCTGCCCTGGCCAGCCAGGAGCCGACAGCCATCCCTGGAAAAACCACCACAGGCACCCGGGGCAGGAACGTCCACCCACAACGACACTCTGGGGTGGCAGCAAACCCCAGCAGGGCCCAGCACGGGGCATCCAAAGCCCAGGAGTGGAAACCACACAAATCTCAGACTGGGAATAGGGACTGCTTTGGGCTGGGAAGGAGTTGATTTACTGTCAGAGACCCCACGGAAACCTGATGGACTCGGCACCTCCGGGTGGGTGCAGGACACGAGCTGCTGTTCTGGCAGTGAGCTCACTCCTGGCCCAGGACACAGACAACCTGAAGGTGCCTCATGGCCAAGCAGACGCCCCAGTGCCATCCCAGCCTCTGGCTCTGGGAAACCACGGAGTTTTCCCTGGCATGGGCTGAGCCAACCCAAGCTGCTCCAACCAGCAATCCGGTGTCCAAGCAAAAGACCCTCCTGGATAGCTGGTTCCTCCCTGTGCCCACTCAGGGCACTGGAGCTGTGGGGATGAGGTGGCTCCTGGGCAGCCTGGCAGGGAGAGGAGCAGCTTGGAGAGGAGGGAGCAGTGTCCAGGTAGGCAGTGCCGGGCAGGGGCTGGGCTTGGTTTGGCTGGGCTGGGCTGGGCTGGGCTGGGCTGGGCTGGGCTATGCTGGCTGCCTGGACAGGAGCACAGGGTGCCTGCCCATGCCCTGGCACAGAGACTGGAGGCCAAGGGGGTGGTTTGCAGCCCCAGCAGCCACCTGGAGCCATCCCAACTGCTCAACCTGGATTTGGGTCCATCCCGACTGCCCAGCCTGGATTTGGGGAGGGCAGAGAGCAAGACACCCCCTTAACACCCCCAGGGCATCCCCTGCTTTTCCCTGCCAAGCCAGTCCCCCTGCAGAACATCCCCCTGAGCCTGGAGGGTTGGTGACAGCGAGGAGCCCCCCCAGCCCTTCCCCAGCCCGGCCAAACCCGTCCTCCCCGACATGGAGTCATGGCTTATTATAGCAAATGTTATTGCAGTGCTGAGAGAGGCTCCTGCATCCAGGAGCAGGCAATATCCTGCCTGAAACGTTCAGGGACCTCTGCCATGTGCACATTCTTCCACGGTGGAATTTGGGTGGCAGCGCTCGGCCTGCTCGGGACGGGCTCGGGGGGTTCGTGGGTTTTGTCCTTCCCTTTACAGGAGATTCAGCCCAGCTGGGGAACACGGGGGGTTATTGAACACAGAATGTTCCAGAGGAAATCGTTAAAGCAGGGTGGAGTGACAGAATTCTGGGTTAATGTCACCTAAGAGGAAAAGGGCTTCCAGAAAGGAAGAATTCTGGAAAGCCCAAACGGCCCTACGTGCTCTCGGTGAGGAACGGGGATGGGAAGGTGATGCTTTCCCAGGGAAAGGCTGGACCAAACCAGCACCTTCTGTTAATAAATAAAATAAAATAAATTAAAATTATAAGTTATTAAAACAAAAATGAAAAGTTGCAAGCATCTCTTTCCCACACCATAAGGGTCCTGGTTTGGGCAGAGCCCACACAGCCCTCTGTGTTGGACACTCATCCTTTCAGAAAAGGGCCTCGTGGATGGAGCTGCTGATGACTCTGGCTCCTTTTCTCCAAAATTTCCAAATCTTCAGGCCTTCATGGGGAAGGATGCTGCAGGTATATGATCTGGAGTGTCTGGATGTTTGGTGCCCTGAAATAGTCAACAACATATGTAATAATAATAATAATAACTCACTACTTAAATACACTTCAGTGCGAGAAACACACAGTTTTAAGCCATACTAAGTGACTATAAACTCATCTCTTTAGAATGCAGAATTAAAGAGTTCAGGGGGAAAATTAACTATTGAGTAGGTTTGTGTTTGCTGGGGATGCCTGGAAATAACTCCTTCCCTCACTGAATGTCCAGTGGGTCCATGGGGGACATGTGTCACCCTGAGTGCTGCCTTTGGGTCTCACCTTAAACATTCACTTAATATTGAGCTTGTTGTTTGCCTGTTTTCTCTCTGGAGTGACTGAGCCCCCAGGGAGAATCCTCCCCAGCTATTTTGGAGCTCAGGGCTGTGATTCACCTCTGCAAACAACAAAATAAGTGTCTGTCCTGCCTGTCCCTGGGAAGCACAGAATTCTGTCACCCTTTAAGCTCTGTGGTGGGCACAGCCCTGTGCAGCAACTTCCCCCCAGGAGCTACCGCCAGGCTGATATTCCAGCTGAATTCAAGTGTTGGGGTTGGATAGATGACTTCTAAAGGTCTCTTCCAGCCCAAATGGCTCTGATTCTAAGGCTTCAACCCACTGGGAGCTGCTGCCTTCCCGAGCATCCATCCCTTTTGCCTCATAGCTGCCTGTCCCCTCCCAGCCGTGGCTCTGCTTTCCCACTGAAATATATATTTCAGGAAAAGAAAAAAGGGCTGTGCCTTGGCTGGAGAATGAATAGCCCCCTCCCAGCTCCGTGCTAGGCGGGTTTTCTGGCACAGAGCAGGGGCAGGGAGGGCATCCAGGGCTCAGTGGCCCTGGAGCAACCCAGCACAGCGGGTCGTCCTTTCAAACCAGCTCCAGCCCCAGCCCGGGCTCAGCCTGACTGGGAGAACTCTTCCCAGCAAAGGGGGATATTTATTACCACTGTCAGGATTTGGGAGCTGCAGAGTGGCAGCAGAATGCAAAATCCAAGCCCAGGGTACAAATTCCAAGCCCCTGGGGATAAGGAGGTTAAATAAAAGGGCTGTGTCCTGCAGGCCAGAGCTCACCTCCCCTCCTTCTCTCAGAGGATGGGATCTGCTCTGGCTCTGCATGGAGAAGGACTGGAAAGCAGTGTTTGCAGCTTGGCTCGGGGCTGCTCCTTCCACAGTCCCTGCCAGTTAGTGTCCCTCCAGTTCCTGTCCCTCCAATCCTCATCCCTCCAAGTCCCATCTCTCCATCCCATCCCTTCAAACCCCATCTCTCCAAATCCCATCCCTCGCGTCTGTGCCAGCTTTGGCCGACCCGGCATGTGGGAATTGTGCTGATGGAGCTGCAGAGGGCAGGGATAACACTATTAAAACGACAACAGGATGGGATTCGCGTTCTCCTCCCATTTCCCATCCCAAACTATCCCACCTTCCGCAGGCCGGGAGCAATCCCTGCCCCTCTCCCCTGCTCCTGCAGCTACACGGGGCTGTCTCCTTCAGGAGGAGCCAGAGAGACACGAGTAACGGGACGCGGCCGTCCCGGCCCTGCCTGTGCCGGGTTTGTCCGTCCCGGTGTTGCCCGAATCCCTGGGATGCATCCATGGACACCCCGAGGTCTGAAACCCCGCACCCTGCCGAGGACTCGAGGGCAGGAGGGACCTTTCCCATGAGATGCTGCGACCTTGGGCCGAGGAGTTTTATTTCCTCCAGGCAGGAAAGTTTTCCCTGCCATGGAAAACCAGCATCCCCCCACTCAGGAAAACGCAGCCCCTTCTGGAATTGCTGGGATTGGCTGCTCTGGGGGATCACCGAGCCCCTCTCCCGGCACAGCTCCATCAGGGTGAGGGACCACACAGCTCGTGGGATGCAGAGCTCTGGAATGGAAGGGAAGAGCGTGTTAATCAGCTAAAATTCAGGGAGTTTCACAGGAGGAAAAAAATGCAATTAATAGAAAACAAAACAAAAAAAAATGAGCCAGTTAATTGCAACAGCTGCAGCTGCGTCTGCACGGGGAGAAGAGGGATTTTAAATGGTTGCACGGACAGGGATAGGGTGGAGATGGAGAGAGGGTGGGGATGGGAATGGGGAGGGGATGGGGAAAGGGATAGGAACAGGAAGGAGGATGGGGATGGACATAGGATGGGAGTGGATAGGGATGGGGATAGGGACAGGGATAGGGATGAGAATGGGGATTGGGATGGGGATAGGATGGAGAAAGGCATAGGGATGTGGATTGGGTAAGGAGTGGGTTCTGGTCTTGCTGCCTGCATGGACAGGAACTGTAAAAGCATCGCCTGCAGGGGATAGGGATAGGGATAGGGATAGGGATAGGGATAGGGATAGGGATAGGGATAGGGATAGGGATAGGGATAGGGATAGGGATAGGGATAGGGATAGGGATAGGGATAGGGATAGGGATAGGGATAGGGATGGGGATGAGGCATTAGTGCCTTCTCATCCAAGGCAGGGCCCAGCTTCAGAGTGAGCACATCACCTGGCATTTCCCTTCCTTGTCTCCTCTGGAAGAACTGAGATGATTCAGCTCTGACCATCTTTAAAACATGAAGTTGCAGGGGAGAGTGATTTCAGGAGGAAATCAGACCTGATCGGAGCGAGCAGATGGGAAGTGGGTGCTCCACCATCCCCAGAGAGCCCTCTGGCTCTGTGTCCTGATCCCCCTGCAGGGAAAAGTAAAAGCCAATATTCACCTTAAAAAAAAAAAAAAAAAAAAAAGCCTTTGCTCTCAGAGTGCTCAAGCAGCTGGGAATAACTCCCAGGGGGTCCCTCAAAAAATCTACTCCTGTGTTTATTACCCTGGGCCTGGGCAGCCCCTGAGAGCCTCATGGCTGTGATGAGCTGGGGCGTTCTCAGCGGGCACTGCAGGGAGCACCGAGGGGGAGCAAACACACCCACCCCCCCCTCCTTGACACCCCCCAGCCCACCCAGGGCAAACAGTGCCCCCAGGGATCTGCGAACCCTTCAGTCGGGACAAGCACACGGAGCAACAATATCGGCGAGAGTAACCAAACCCCGCTCGAGCCCCGACAGCGACGCCGGAGCGCGGAGGAAAGAGAAAATTATGCAAACGAGGTTTATCGGCTGATCGGAATAACAAGTGAACTGGAGCTGGAAGGGGCAGCTTTGGCGGGTAATGAGGATTATTTACCCGGCATTTCCCTTGCAAATCAGGAGCGGGTTCCCAGCGCCAGGGCGATGCTCAGCACCCGGGGAGCACCCGCGGATCTCGGCCGAATCTTCAGCTTTTCGCAGCAAAACGCTGGCCCTCGGGTGGGCTCTGCCCTCCCCGCTGCTCCAGGGGCACCCAGTGCCTCAGGGACACGTTTTCCTCCTCGTGGTCATGCTGAGAGTAAAGCACAGGCCAATCCAGGTCCTCCACGGGCTCTGCTGAGCAGGGAGCTCAAGCCACAGCAGTGAGTTCAGGTTTTGGCAATTAACAGCGTTCGTTACTATTTTTCTCATTATCAGCAGGCAGAGCATCTGTCCTGTGTCAGGGAACAGCACTTGCCAGGGCCCCGAAATCCCCCCCAGCACGGTGGGGTCTCAGCAGCCCGGCTGTCCTGTTTCCTCAGCTCCAAGGGATGGCCCTTTATTGAATCCAGCTTCCAGGCAGTGTCTCTTGGAGCTCTTTGGGTCTTACCCGTGCTTTCCAGGCCAGGACTATTCCCATATGCATGATCCATGTGTTCCAAAATATTAGTGCATTGGAAAGGTCCTAACTCAATTTCACTCTGCGTTTTCCAGACATTTATTAAAACAGTGAGCTGTGAAATTCTGCTGCGGATTCCCCCCGGCTCCATTTGTGGCTGGGATGGAGGAACCTGGAGAAGACCCATCCAGTGCATTCCAGCACATGGAACACTGGTGGGAATGTCTCAGGGATCCCTGTGCAGTTGGTGAAGGAAAAGGTTTTTCCTTCTGATTGTTCAGTACAGGACACAGGGAAACATCCCAAATAGCCAAGGCCTGGTTGTCCCTGGGGGAATAATGTTTACAGGACTCGAGGGACAGTCACCTCTTGCCCCTCCCAAACGCTTCTGGTGAAGGATCTGCGGGGGGACCAGGCAGGACCTCCCTTACGTCCCACCTCGGCTGTGCCAGGGGATTTTCCATGGAAAACCCTGAGGAAGGGATTCCTGAGGAAGGGTTCAGCTCCAGGGACACCCTGCCAGGACGGGCCGTGGGGCCCCACCGTGGGCAGCGGAGGAGCCACCTCAGCCCTGAGGAGGACATGGAGAAGGGTGAGAAGGGGGGCACAGCTTTACTGAGGCCATGTGGAGATTCAGGGCACAGCTCCAAGTCTGGCAGGCCCAGAGTGCTGGGACCAACCCCACCCACGGCCAACAATGCACATTCCTGTTGTGTGCCCGGGGTGGGGGGGTCAGGGCAGCCCCCACACGCGTGGGAGCATCCTGCTGAGGGACAGGGAAGTCCCATTGTCCCTCTGCCCCTGCGCTCCCACAGCCCAGCACTGCTCCCCAAAGAGCAGAGAGAGGAGGCAGCTCAGGGTCGTGTTTCCAACCCCGAGGCCATTTGTGCTGCAAGAACTTGCCAGCCCAATAATCTACGGGAGGATTTGCACCAGTGTGAGAATGTAGAGCCCAGCTCGTTACAAGGGGTTGTAGTTTAATTTGGGTGATGGTTTGGCCAGGAATTGCTGTAATAAATCTCTCAGTAGTGCTCTCTAAGCTTTGGGCACTCCTGGGCCAGGCTCAGCTCTCGTGACCTCTGTGCAAACCTGACGTGAGGTTCCCTTGTGTCGGGAAAGATGCTGCAAGTTTGGAGACTTAGAAATGAAAAGAGGATTTGGCCTGAGATTTCTCTCCCCACAAACCTTTCTCATGCAAATCTGGCCATTTTGCACTCGCCTTGAATACCAAATCAGCACGAGTTTCACTGCTCAGTCTCACATTTCCCCCACAATTCCACGTCTGGCCCTGCTGGGAACAGGCACAGGGCCCTCCCTCTGCATCCTATTGGGGGACACTCTGCTCGCTCCAAACCCCAAATGGGCTTGACCCATCACATGGGATGGCCAAGGGCTGCTCCTCTGGGAATATCTGGCCATGGAAATTGGAAGGATTTCCTCTGGCACGTGGCTCTTGGTGCTGTGGTTTAGTTCACAGAATCACAGGACGTGCTGGGTTGGAAGGGATCCACAGGGACCATCCAGTCCAACCCTCAGCCCTGCACAGAACCGTCCCCAAGAGTCACACCCTGTGCCCCAGAGGATCATCCAAACCCTCCTGGAGCTCTGGCAGCCTTGGGGCTGTGCCCACTGCCCTGGGGAGCCTGTTCAGTGCCAACCACCCTCTGGGGGAAGAACCTTTCCCTGAGATCCACCCTGAGCCTGCCCTGACACAGCTCCAGCCATTCCCTGGGGGCTGTCCCTGGTCCCCCCAGAGCAGAGCTCAGTCCTGCCCCTCCTCTGCCCCTCCTGAGGAAGCTGTCACTGCAGTGAGGTCTCCCCTCAGCCTCCTCTTCTCCAGCTGAACACCCCAAGTGCCCTCAGCTGCTCCTCAAGGCCCTTCCCCATCCTCATGTCCCTCCTTTGGACTCTCTCTGAGAGCTTGATGTCGATCAAAGGTCAGACTCAATGATCTTGGAGGTCTTTTCCAACCTAAATGATGCTGTGATTCTACCAGGACCCAAGAGCAAATCCAGAGAGCCCACGAGGAGCTTTGCTGGCCGATTTCCATGAGGGTGCCCTCATTCCCAGCGCCGCGGAGGGGCTGGGTGTGAAAGCCCCACTGGAGGTAAATGTCCTTTGGGCAGGAGTGCTGGGAGAGAAAAGCATATTTCCATCCCCCCAGTGGTCTCCAAGGAGCAGAGCCCTCACTCCCAGCCCCTCAGGTGCGGAGCTGAGCCGGGGGAGGTGACTTCAGCCTGGCTTCGAGTGGTGCTGATCCCGCTGCAGCTGGGAGGGGATTTCCCCTCAGCTCCAGCCCAGCTGCTTAAAAAACTCCTGCACTAAGTGAGCTAATATTTCATGAGTAAATTGAAGTGGTCAGGTCCCATTTTGTGAGGAAAGCACGGTTCCCTGCCGACCAGCCTCCTCGGGACTTTCGGGGATATAAAAATAACTTCACAGGCTCCTTCTCTGCGCCTTTCAAAATAAAAGCAACCTTCAGTTATTTGATTTTTTTTTTAATTTTATGCAAATGATCTTCTGTTCTGTGTTATTATGTAAACGAGCCAACTGAAATGGTAATGAGGGAACCCAGAAGTATGCATAGATTAACTGCTGCTATAGAGCTTTACACCTACAGAAATGGCACTGAATTACATTTCCAAGGGAGGGACAGGTGTCCTGAGGGTGAAGATTTTACTCCAGGACTTGCTTACTTCTGAAATCCCTTTATATAAAAGTCTTCTTCCTGCAGAGAATAGTCAAGCATTCGATTCAAGCAGCAAGGCAGCACTTAAATTCCTTGTTTTCAGTGTGGGAAAATGTGTTGCATTCAGTTACCATCAGTGTGTGCAGCAGCAGCTCACAGCCCACCTCTGATACTCCAGCTCAAATCAGAGCACCACCAGATAAACCACCAGGAGGGCAGAGCTGTGGGAATTTTTCTCTCCAAGCACACCACTGCAAAAGGAAACCCATGGAGAAACCATCCCTGTGTGCTCTCCTCTAGGCCTGGGGAGAAACTGCTGGGCTCAGGTGAGCCCAGACTGTGATAAACGTGTAGGATGAGACACCCAAAAAGCAGCTTTTTGAGAGGTTAAGGTAGAGGCAAAGGCTGTCCCCAAAGGTCACATGGTCTCCAATGAAATCCCTGGCAAAACTCACTGGCATTAAAAGAATTAAAAGGTTTCTGCTTCCTAAACCTCATCTTTGCATTCTCCATGGGGTCCTCCTGCTCTCCTGCAAGGTGCCACATGGGACAGGCTAGAAAAATGGGACAAGTGCCACCTTCATTTCCCACCCACTCAAAGGGGGTGAAAGAATCAGTTTCTCACCTTTATAAAACAGCCCCAGAGAGCTGAAGCCCAGACCCCAGGGCAGCAGATGCCTCAGATCCCTCCTGGTTCCCGTGCTCAGCGATGAGGCTTGAGGTGATTCCAGGGGCAGCAGATGCTGCACACAGAGGTGCACTGAGCTCACAGAGGTGGCTGGGCTGGAGAAACCTCGGCCAAAATCCACCTCAGTTGTGCCTGATGTTACCACCCTTTGGCTCCAAACAGCATGGACTGGATCCGTGATGGGACAACACGGACCCCACAGTCCCAGTGTGTGAGCTCAGGAGCTGCAGGGAAATCCTCCTGGAGGTACTGGGGGCTTGTCCTTGATTTCACCTGGAAGGGAAATATCTTCAGCTTCTGGTTAATAATTAAATGAGACCCGGCAAATAACGGATAATTTGTTACAGGAAAAGCCACCCCAAGTGCCTTGGCCTGATCCAAGAGCCCGTGCGAGCTTTCTACTGAGCTGACTGGGTTTGGGAACCAGCCCACAGTGGTAATAAAAATAAATCCCTGTAATTAGGTGAAAGGGAAAATCCAGAAGATGCCATTTGAGCCATTTAGGGCTCAAACATATATCCTGGGGTTTGGGCTGGGTTTGGCCCTGAGGCCTCAGGAGGTGGCTGGTGGGAATGGGGGAGCACCTCCTGCAGCCCAGGGCTCAGCCTGCTGCCCCAAAGCAGGATTTGTTGCTCAGAAACTAGGAGACCCTGATTTTCCAAGCATGTTTAAAGTCCATTTTCCCCCCAGACAAGTGTCACCAGCACCAGCTCCAAGGACATGTTGGGCCCCAACGAGGAGTCAGAGACGGGGACAAAGTTCTTCTCAAAGTGGATATTTTAGGTTTGGAGATGAAATATTTTTTTTTTTTGCTTCTGGAAGGCTCTTTCCAGTCTGGACTGAGGTGTTTTGGGGTAGGCAGTGAAGAACCAAACAGGAAAAGGAGAAGGGAAAGGAGAGTGATTGTTTTTGCCATCCCTTGGTGTATCTCATGATACAGGAACCGAACAGAAGGCAGAAATCAGACAAAAAGAAAGACTCCTTGTTTTTTTCAGAGTGATCAGTCCAGTCACAGAGCTCTGCCACAGGGCCAAGAGCAGGGTTGAGGTTCAAAGGAGGCTTAACAAATCCCTGGAAAATATACAACTTCCAGGCATCCCAGAGAAGCAACAGAAGGGTCTTGCAGTGATTGCTGATTGCCAGAGGCTGGCAGAGACTTGGGAAAGGGATATTTTATACAAACCCTGGGTTTTCCCCCCAATTTGAGGTTGTTTTGCTTAATCCTGCCTTACAAACCTACACGTGCCTTTGCAGGACACTCTTGAGACAGACCTTTGCTCTCTTCCAGTGCAGATATTTCCATTTTCCCTCTTTCCTCCAAGCAGATTGGAACATCTACGTGGTTTGGGGCTGATTGTTCAAATATTTTTTGGGGGGGAGGGGTTCACAGGGTCTTTCCTGCATTCCCAGAAATAGAACACAAACATCTACCGCTCGGATGTTTTGTTAAGTTATTTTCACTAAAATAATAAACTTGCTTCCGACTGGGAATTTTGCTAAGTGCTTTAGATAAGTTTTTAACTTCTCTGCATCCCATCACCAGGCGTGGATTTCAGCCAACTGTTCCAGGGCTTGAGCTCACAGCTCTTCAGGGATGGCTGGAATCTGGCTCTGGAGCTCTCACCTGACTTTGCTCCGATGGACATCACCCCCAGCTCCTCCTCCACAGAGCTGATTTCTCCCAAATGTTGAGAAAATCTGGATTCCTGCCTGAATTTTGGTTATTTGGGCCCAGCTTTATTCCCATCTCCATCTGTTGACCAGGATGGGCTCTCAGAGCCCACACACCTTCCGGGGTTTGGGTGTCCCTGGAGCACTGAGATCTTCCAGGAGCCCTTGAGCACCTGGGACCTCGTTCCCCACCTGCAGAGGGTCCCGTTGGGATGGCATTAAATCCCTCCTGGCTGGGAAAAGGGGCTGTTTGTGGGGGACTCCTGGCTC